TATAGTTTTACTTTGATAACAAATCATGGATTTTTAATGGTATTTTGACATCAAATAATACATAGATAACAACGTATTTGCAGAGATCTTCAAGAATCAAATTCGTGGATTATTAGCCAAGGAAATAAAAAAAAAACGATAACACATAATAACAAGACACATTAGCCACGATATGCAATAATGGACATCAAAACTCAATCATTTAAAACTAAAGGAATCAGGGGTCAATTAGGGTTCTAACCAAGGATTTAAGAGCATAAATTAGCATATAATATTCACCTACGAAATGGAAATTTAGAGGAAACTACACACAACAAATCAATGAGGCATAACAGAATACAATATATGAAATTGTGCGGACCTGGATCGTCTAGCGGCAATAGAAGAATTCCAATCCCTCTAACCAAAATTCCTTCACTTCAAACCCTTCTCTACCGACCCTCAAGTGTTCCTAAGTCGTGGAAAAAAAAAAATAGTTTGAAGAGGATGAACTAGGAACGTATGCTGATGGCCTATCTTAAATAAAATGAGTTAGGGTATGTGAAGAGGTGGAGAGAATTTACTTTCTTCATTATAGGGTGATGGATTTCGAGTTTAATAAGGGGAGATGGAAGGTTTGATAAGCTCTAAAGTTATCTTGAAGGTCTTGTATTGTTTTGTTTTTAAGAGAAATCAAAAAGAGTTTCCACAAAAAGATTTGAACTCATGACCTCTCACTTGAGCATTTCCTTAATTCTACCGTTTTCTTTTTACTAATGAACCAATAATATCTCATGTAAATTTAGTGGTTACATAAGTATATAACCTTATAATAACTAATAAATTAACTTGATATTAAACTCGAAATATTCTCAAACCGATCCCGGTTTCAGCTAGACCGGTTTTCAGGGTCTTACAATTCTCTCCCACTTAAGAAAATTTCGTCCCGAAATTTATACCTGAGTCGTTGTCATTAAACAAGTAGGGGTATTGGATCCTCATAACTTCTTCAGTTTCCCAAGTTGCATCCTCTGAGGTATGATTACTCCAGAGCACCTTTACTAGAGCTACTGTCTTGTTCCTCAACACTTTCACATCCCGATCCAAGATGCGAACTGGCTCTTCTACATAAGTCAACTTTGAGTCTAGTTCAACTGAACCAGGCACCAGGACGTGGGTAGAATCAGATCGATATCTTCGGAGCATGGAAACATGAAAAACATCATGAATTTTACTAAGCTCAGATGGAAGTGCTAAGCGATAAGCAACAGGACCCACTCGTTCCGTAATTTCATAGGGTCCGATAAACCTTGGGCTTAACTTACCCTTCTTCCCAAAACGTAGAATTTTCTTCCACGGGGAAACTTTCAAGAAGACTTTATCCCCCACGGAAAATTCTATATCCTTACGCTTGAGATCGGCATATGCCTTTTGTCGATCGAATGCTGTCTTTAACCGTTCTTGAATTATTTTTACCTTCTCTTCAGTCTCACGCACCAAATCTGGACCCACCACCTTACTCTCACTTAATTCAGTCCAACAGACGGGAGTTCTGCATCGCCTTCCGTACAATGCCTCATATGGTGCCATTTGTATACTAGCTTGGTAGCTATTGTTGTATGCAAACTCCATAAGTGGTATGTACTTCTCCCAACTTCCCTCGAGATCAATAGCACACCCTCTCATCATATCCTCCAGAACTTGGATAACTCGCTCAGACTGCCCGTCAGTTTGAGGGTGGAAAGCGGTACTGAAATTCAATTTTGAACCGAGAGCTGTTTGTAAACTCTTCCAAAATTTTGATGTGAACCGAGGATCCCGATCAGATATTATTGACGTAGGAACCCCATGCAAACGTACAATTTCTCGTATGTACATCTCAGCTAATTTGGTCAAGGAGAAATCTCTTCGAATTGGCAAAAAGTGTGCTGACTTGGTTAATCGATCTACAATTACCCAAACTGCGTCATTCTTTCTCGGTGACAACGGTAACCCGACAACAAAATCCATAGTGATCCGATCCCATTTCCATTCCGGAATTGTAATGGACTGTAACAACCCAGAAGGAACTTGGTGTTCAGCTTTAACTTGTTGGCAAGTTAAACACTTGGAGGTATACTCCGTAATATCCTTCTTCATACCGTTCCACCAATATTGACTCTTGAGACCTCTATACATCTCGAGGCTACCGGGATGCATTGAGAACTTCGATTCATGAGCTTCCTTTAGAATCCGACAACGAACCTCTCCCTTCGGAACCACTAACCTTCCTCGAAAACACAATCCCCCATCTATCATAGAAAAATCTGGTTTCTCCCATTTGGAAATGTAATCACACATTTCACCACACCAACCATCAGATTTCTGGGCTACAATAACCTCTTCCCGAATAGTGGGTTTAATACGTAGTTCAGCCAAGGACTTTCGACTCAAGGCATCCGCCACCACGTTAGCTTTCCCCGGGTGATAATCAATAAAGCAATCGTAGTCTTTAATTAACTCTAACCAACGTCGTTGCCTTAGATTCAACTCTTTCTGGGATGGCAAATACTTCAAACTTTTATGGTCTGTAAAGATGTAGGTCTTCTCCCCATAAAGGTAGTGACGCCAAATTTTTAAAGCAAAAACTATGGCAGCCAACTCTAAATCATGAGTAGGGTAGTTCTTCTCATGATCTTTTAGTTGCCTTGAAGCGTAGGCTACTACTTTACCATCTTGCATCAATACACATCCCAAACCACTGTGTGAAGCGTCACTATAGACAATGTAATCCACCCCAGGCTTGGGTTGTATTAGCACTGGGGCTTTAGTCAAGATATCTTTCAGCCGATCAAACCTCTCTTGACACGCTGGAGTCCACTCAAAGCGAATATTCTTTCTTAACAATTTGTGAAGAGGTAAAGCAATGGTAGAGAATCCCTTAACAAAGCGACGATAGTAACCAGCTAATCCCAAAAAACTTCTTACCTCTGTGACATTACGAGGCGTCTTCCAGTTTACTACTGCTTGAACTTTTGTTGGGTCCACCTTTACACCTTCTGCTGAGATGACGTGTCCAAGAAAAGTGACTTCTTTAAGCCAAAACTCACATTTTGACAGCTTAGCATAAAGTTTATGCTTGCGAAGTATTTGTAGTACGATTTTTAAATGTTCCTTATGCTCCTCTTCTGACTTTGAGTATACTAGGATATCATCAATGAAAACCACAACAAATTGATCCAAATATGGTCTAAAGACGCGATTCATCAGATCCATAAATGCAGCCGGGGCATTAGTCAAGCCGAAGGGCATAACCAAAAACTCATAATGACCATATCTAGTTCGGAAAGCTGTCTTAGGTACATCATCCTTCTTCATCGGTAATTGATGATAACCAGAACGCAGGTCAATTTTGGAAAACACACTAGCATCCTTCAACTGATCAAACAAATCATCTATCCGGGGCAAGGGGTAACGATTTTTAATAGTCATTTTGTTTAACTGTCGATAATCCACGCAAAGCCTCATTGACCCATCTTTCTTCTTAACAAACAATACTGGTGCTCCCCAAGGTGATGTACTTGGTTGGATAAAACCCTTATCAAGAAGATCTTGTAATTGAGCCTTAAGCTCTTTCAGCTCTGCAGGGGCCATCCGATAGGGAGTGGCAGAAATAGGGGCAGCTCCAGGAATCAAATCAATAGAAAATTCCACCTCACGAGGTGGTGGAAGACCGGGCAAATCCTCAGGAAATACATCAGAAAATTCACTAACCGTTGGAATATCCAATAAATTAGGTGCTTCCTTTCTAGTATCTCTCACATGAGCCAAATAAGCGTCACACTTCCTTCGGATCAACCGTTTTGTCTGCATCATGGAAATAAATTGTGGCGGCTTTGAAAATAGCTCCCCCGGAATAATAATGGTTTCACCTGAACCACTCCTCAATCGAACGGTCTTCTTCTGGCAGTCCACCACAGCATTGTGCTTGGAAAGCCAGTCCATACCAAGAATCATGTCAAACTCTCGGTGCGGAAGGATAATCAGATCGGCATTAAATTGTTTACCTTGAACAGTTAGTGGGCAACCTCGAATAACTTGGTCAACTTCAAGGCTATGACCAAGTGGAGTAAAAACCTCCATTTTGTACTGTAATTGTTCTATCGGCAAGCCCGATAAACGTGATGGAGAAAAGCATATGTACGAATGTGTAGAACCAGGATCTATCAAAGCACAAATATCAATATCAAGAAGAGTGAACATACCCTGGATAACATCATGGTCAGGTTGCTCCTCCCTTCCGTGCATGGCATAGACTCGAGCGGAGGCTTGACTTGGACCGGGTCGATTAACTGTCTCTGAGTTTCCTCCCGTATTGTTGCTCTTTCTGTTTGGCTGGCCTCGCGAACCCGGTGTGGTCGACGTCGCTGCCTTAACTCCTTCCTGATTCAGATTTGGGCAATCTCGTAACATGTGGCCTTGTTGTCCACAGCGGAAACATGCACCTGTAGCTCGACGACACTCTCCAGTATGGTTCTTTTCACAAAACTTGCATAGCGGCCTAGCCCCAACTGAGGATGCCTGTGGACGGGGGTGGTTACTTGCGGCGATAGATTGATTCTGGGAGTTACGTCCCTTCTTTGACCAATTGCTCTTCTCAGATCCTCCATGTTGTCTCTTGTGCGAAGATTGACCAGAGGGTGCATCAGTAGATGAATTCCCTCGGCCTCCAATGTGACGGTGCCAACCTTCCAATCTCTGAGCGGAATCCACCAAACTCGTGAAACTCATATGCCTCATAGCTATGATTTGGCCAGCAAACTCTGAATTGAGCCCGTACTCATACTTGCGACATTTGTCCTCTTCTGTGCGCACCATGTCTCGAGCATATTTACTAAGTCGTAAGAACTCATAAGCATACTCACTCACAGTCATGGATCCTTGTTTTAGATCCATGAAAGCTCGTTTACGCTCCTCTTGATACCAGGCCGGAACAAACTGGTCTAAAAAACGAGCTTCAAAAAATGCCCAAGTCATAGGGTGGGGTACATCAGGGCGTAGCAGTACGGATTTCCACCAATCGTAAGCACCGTGCTGTAGCAAGCTGATGGCTAAACGGGGACGGTCAGCTTGTGGGACTTGCAAATCCTCAAGCACACGAGTGGTTTGTTCGAGCCAAAATTCTGCGACGTCAGGAGTGTCATCTATTTTTCCTAGAAAAATAGAGGCCCCATTCTTTTTCAGCTTTTCAAGGGTGAACACACGAGCTCCAACATTCTGGTTTGGCGTAACATTTTGAATGAGTTGCTGAAACAACCCGGCCAACTCAGCTAGGAACGGATTGGGTTGGAAGTGATCACCTGCATTTTCATTGTGACCGCTGGCATTACTGCCAACATGATAGCTTGCAGAATGCTCAGAGGGATCTTCAGAAGACATCGGAAACCTACGGATCAAAGTGTTCAATTTAATCTAAAGTTCAAAAACTTACCAAGCTAGACCATGGCGGGACAAAGAGACGGGCATCCAAATGCAGCTCACTTCGAAAACAATTTAAATTTCTTTTCTTTCAAAAGACACAATATATACGTATATATATACAAAATAAGAACCTAGTGCTCTGATACCAAAATGTAACACCCACCCGATACAACCCGGGTGATTCTCATAGTTCATCCCAACTCGAATCGGTTGAGTGTTAGCGAGCTTTGAAACAGAGCATAACTAATTAGTTATATAAGTAAATATGCATTTAACTCTTTAGAAAAAAAATGGAATAAGTCATTTACTTTTAAATTCAAAAGTAAAATATAAGTCTTGCAACGGAAATATTCAAGTCAAACACTTGAGAGACCTTACTCTCCACGCACAACAAATTGAACTATGTAAATTGTGTCACCAATTTATTTGAAAAAGAAAGAAAAGAATCATGAAATGAAATGTGTGAGGATGCAGCAAGATGCCCCCTTATTCTCTTGATCCTTCGCCCAAAATCACCATGGCCGCTCTCAACCTACGCGTAGCATGAAAACAAACAAGCTACACGCTCAGCAAAAGCTGAGTGGCACGTAAATCATATATACTGTATTAGAAATATTATTCCGTGTTAATCATGCATAATGATTGTATATATATTCACAGATTTGCACCTATATATATATATATATATATATATCTGATCAACCATGGTGAGCCATATACAAGATACTCGTTTTTTTTTTCATGATAAAATTCATGGAAATTAGAGATTTCATATTTCACATATGAGTGCAACAAGACGGAGCATATCCCAAATAGGACTAATAACAAGTCTTAATTTAGGGTTCATTTCTTTTAAATACTAATAAGCCAAACTCGCGAGAACGGACCAAGACTCGAAACACGGGATAAGGAAACATAATCGCCGGGGCTACATGCACCTATCCCAAAACAGAGGTCGACCATGGTCTAAAAAGCATACTAGCACGTCAGGAGGGAATCGAAATCGCCGGAGCTAAAAGAAAATTTTCAGGAGTACTAATGTCCAAACACCTCATACTAAAACAAAATTTCCAGGAGTACTAATGCCGAAGCACTTTGTACTAAAAACAAAATTTCAGGAGTATTAGTGCTGGAGCATTGCGTACTAAACAGAACGGGGTGTCTCGATTAATGTAGCACTTAGCACTACGCCGGAGTCTAGGTGACACAAAAACAAATTCTGGCACCCAGGTCCAAACATAGTCTCTAGAGGTGGCTCCCAAAATCTAAGTACCAAACTCAGAGCAGGCTTTTCCAGAAATCATTAATAGTATTTATTTATTTCAAAAACTTATTTGAAGCATAGTATAATTTATAGTAAAGAAAAATTTAGGACATATCATGTAACTATCCATACTTTAAGTCACGTAGTTTTATATGAGCAATTTACAGGGATTTAATAAGGAGTTTTAGCATCACATAACACCTAAACAAAAGCATACTCATGATGGGAGATTTCAGCTTCATATATATACAGATCTGTAGCAATACTTCATGAAAATTAGAACCTGCTAAGCCAAGTATTAGAACCTGCTAGGCCTGGGACCGGTTCGGTTCCTAGGCAAAATATGTGGAACCGTTTGAAAATATGAAATTTTACTAACAGTTCGGTTCTTATAAATTATTTTAAAGAACCGATAAGGAACCGAACCGTTCTTAACGGTTCGGTTCTTGTCATTTAACGGTTCCTAGTCTTTGAAAAAATTCTTGCAAAACACGACTAATTTTTGCCAAAACGACATTCAACGTTCGAAATCTCAATACATATATGCTGAACCAGTTAAAGAGAATAATAATTTTAAATACTCTGGACCTTCTGAGTTCCGACCAGCTGGAGTTTGGACCTAATGAGAGGCCTAAGAAGCCTAAGAGAACCGGTTGAAATAAATAATAGTTTTAAATAGTTAAATAACTAAACTAAAATAATGAATATAATATAAAAATAAATAAGTAAATATACATTACAATATATATATTCATAAAAAATATATTTAATTTTAATTATTATATATAACGGTTCCTTAACGGTTCCTGCTACATATTTTTTTTCAGGAACCGAGAACCGAACCGTTAATAAAAATTAGGAACCGAACCATTAACAAATAACTAATAAATGTTGGAACCGAACCGAACCGGGTCATAACGGTTCGGTCCGGTTCGGTTCTCCGGTTTTTGGTTCCAAAGTCCCAGCCCTAGAACCTGCTAATATGTATTCCAGCCCTAACTTGTCAAGAATTCTAAACGACAATAATCGATTTGCAACAGAGTGTTCCAGGGAGTTTTGAGAATAGATTTTCATATACCCTATCATGATGAAATTACTTTTAATACGGCATAGAACACTTCAGATGCAATAGAGCAGATCATGTAAAAAAAAAATGACCCAATTTTGTAGTTAAAATCATATATTTTTACATCAACCATTTGACCTGGATCCAAATAGGATTTTCGAACCATAACATTACATAGATAAACATATACGTAGTATTATAAGGGACGATTGGAGAACAAACACATACACATACATAACATACACACAAAAATTTGACCGAATATATGAAATAGTGCAGATACTAAAACATAATTTACTACCCCATTCCTAGGAGTATTTGTCAATAGCATTCATATATCAGCATAATAATTAAATTTAGAAACATACTACATACCACTAAGAATGAAATAGACCTATCAAGCACAAAAGCCATCCCTTTACTGATAACTCAAAACATATAGTTTTACTTTGATAACAAATCATGGATTTTTAATGGTATTTTGACATCAAATAATACATAGATAACAACGTATTTGCAGAGATCTTCAAGAATCAAATTCGTGGATTATTAGCCAAGGAAATAAAAAAAAAACGATAACACATAATAACAAGACACATTAGCCACGATATGCAATAATGGACATCAAAACTCAATCATTTAAAACTAAAGGAATCAGGGGTCAATTAGGGTTCTAACCAAGGATTTAAGAGCATAAATTAGCATATAATATTCACCTACGAAATGGAAATTTAGAGGAAACTACACACAACAAATCAATGAGGCATAACAGAATACAATATATGAAATTGTGCGGACCTGGATCGTCTAGCGGCAATAGAAGAATTCCAATCCCTCTAACCAAAATTCCTTCACTTCAAACCCTTCTCTACCGACCCTCAAGTGTTCCTAAGTCGTGGAAAAAAAAAAAATAGTTTGAAGAGGATGAACTAGGAACGTATGCTGATGGCCTATCTTAAATAAAATGAGTTAGGGTATGTGAAGAGGTGGAGAGAATTTACTTTCTTCATTATAGGGTGATGGATATCGAGTTTAATAAGGGGAGATGGAAGGTTTGATAAGCTCTAAAGTTATCTTGAAGGTCTTGTATTGTTTTGTTTTTAAGAGAAATCAAAAAGAGTTTCCACAAAAAGATTTGAACTCATGACCTCTCACTTGAGCATTTCCTTAATTCTACCGTTTTCTTTTTACTAATGAACCAATAATATCTCATGTAAATTTAGTGGTTACATAAGTATATAACCTTATAATAACTAATAAATTAACTTGATATTAAACTCGAAATATTCTCAAACCGATCCCGGTTTCAGCTAGACCGGTTTTCAGGGTCTTACAGTTCTTCTGTTCCCCACTTTGACCCCACCCGTCTTGCTATGGATGCAATATATGAAAGCAAGAAGGAGTTTAGTTTTAACTTGAAGATGTATGCAATAACTAATTTTTTCCAATACCGAACAAAGTCATCTTCTCCTAAGGTGTTACATGTTATTTGTGTGGATCCTGATTGTCTGTGGGCTGTTCGTGGAGTTCGCTTGGATGAAAGTGGCTTGTTTCAAGTGCGTAGGTTAGTGATTTCTTTTTTTTTTTTTGGTTATGTATTTGTTTTAGTTATCTTCTCCTAAGTTGTTTGCTTACTGTTTACATTACATTATTTAATGCAGTGTTATTGAAGTTCTAAACTGCAGCTAATGAAAATATTTAGACCTTATATGTTGTTGTTTTTACTTGAACATCCATGTGAAGTTGCATATTTTTGATGAAGTTTGTTGTGACTATTTGCATTAAATTATACACTGCAATTACTCAATAAATTATATCATTTTTATATTTCTATTTCTGTATTAAAATTGTTTAGTTATGTTGTTTTTTTACTTTGCCAGGCTTTTGAAGTTCCTTATTTTCGTTGTAGTTAGTTGTCATTATTTGGACAAAATTTATGTATCTCAATAAATGCGTCATTACATGCTGTTAATGCCATCTGTACTTGTTCATTTTCAGATTTGATAACGACCATACCTGTCCCATTGATATTAGACAAGCTAATAGTCGCCAGGCTTCTTCTTCTCTTATTGCTGAACTGATCAAGCATGAATTTGATGACTTGTCCAAAAGAGCTTACACACCTCATTCAATCATGAGAGATATGAAAAGATTGCATGGAATTGTCATGTCATATAAAAAGGCTTGGGTTGCAAGGGAAATTGCATTGAAATTGGCTCGGGGATCTGAGAAGGAGTCGTACAGTAGACTTCCTTCTTTGTGCTACATGCTTGATAAAGTAAATCCAGATTCGGTTGTTAGATATTCTTGTAATGAAACTGGAGAATTTCAGAACTTTTTTATGTCTCTTGGTCCATGGAGACGTGGATGGGAGAAGTGCATTCCAGTTATTGTTGTTGATGGATCATTTTTGAAATCGTATTACAAGGGAACACTGCTCACGGCCTGCACACAAGATGCTAACAAGCAGATTTTTCCACTTGCATTTGCTATTTGCAGTGTTGAAAATACCGTTAACTGGACTTGGTTTTTCAACATGTTGAAGAATTGTCTCAACCATAGAAATGGTTTGTATATTGTGTCTGATCGGCATGAAGGAATTATAAATGCCGTTCATTCCGTCTTTCCATATGCGGAACATGGATATTGTGTTTATCACATATTAGGCAATATAAAATCCAAGTTTAAAGGTACTGCAAAGGTGTTGTCTTGGAAATTCTTACAAGCAGCGAGAGCGGGTTCTGTTTATGAATGTGAAGAGTATCTTTCCAGGCTTGATTATGATGACCCGCGTATACGTACGTACTTGCAAAAGATTGGTAATGAGAAGTGGTCTCGTGCATATGCTAGCCGCAACCGTTATTCTGTGATGATGTCTAACAATGCGGAGTCTTTGAATGCTGTTTTTGTCACGGCTCGTGAGTATCCCATCTGCAAGTTGATTGAGTTTATAGTACGCACAATGCAAACATGGTTCTGTGAACGCAGAGAAGAAGCTGCATCAAACGGATCTCTACTCTCTGCTTACTTTGAAGCGCAATTACGTCTATCGCAATCAAATGCTGCATTAATGCAGGTACTTTACTGCATTCATACTGTACTGCATTTTGGCTTTTTGTTTTTGTATGAAATGATGAGGTTCTGCTTTATGTTACCAGTTTTATGTTTATTTTTTTATGTTTTTGTAGGTCAAGCCATCATGTATCTTTGAATTTGAGGTCTTTGATGCGAAAGGAAGATCATTTGTTGTCAATTTAAGAGAAGGGACTTGTACATGCCGTGAATTTGAACTTGATGGCTTCATATGTGTTCATGCCGTTGCTGCAATCCGTTCTCGTCCGGGACTTTCTGCTTATGACTACATTCCTGAATATTATACTACACAGAAATGGTGTTCAGCTTATGAGGGCATCATTCATCCCATCGGTAGTTACGATTGTTGGGTTGTTCCCCATGACATATCTCAAATCATTTGCAGCCCTCCATCTTGTTCTAAGAGACCTCCTGGAAGACCCAAGAAGCGACGTATTCCATCTACCGGTGAACATGTGCGTCAACAAAAGTGTACACGTTGCTCAATGGTTGGTCACAATAGGAAGACATGCCGAAACCCCATTTCTCGCACTCGCTCCTAATGTTGAATCTCTTTTACTTGTTTAGTTTTACTCCTAATGTTGAATATGTTTTACTTGTTTAGTTTTACTCTTGAGTTACGCTTTACACTTTTCCCACTTCTTCACAATTGTATTCAGGTGAGAAGTGATACAGATGTTCTGCTACTAATTTCTATCTTGAGATATTTGTCCCTAGTATGACTAGAAGTCCTTAAGTTTCTCAAAATATGACCTCCCAGTTTTATTTCTTAATTTATGTTATCCGAATCATAGATCATAACCATCCCATCCGCTGAATTTTTTTTATTCCATCGCTACCCTTCAGTCAACCTACGGTCAGCGCATCTTTATACTAATTCTATTTAAGAATTTATTTCACGATCTTCTAAATTAGGTAACCGTTTTTCATTCCGATTCCCTGTCGTCTTTAACCTTCCTTCTCTTCAGCTTGTTTCGATGAATTCCAAATAATTCTTCGCTTGTTCTATTCGTTCTTCCTGTTTAGGAGATTATGGAAATCGTTTATTCTCCAAATCCTTCTCCAACGATACATGTCTTGATGAACGTAGATGGCCAGTGGTTGTCCGACATTGAATTTCAGAGCTCAACCTCCATCGCTGTTGATATTCCTTTCTGCTGCAAGTGGATTGAATTTTGTGGAATTGTATACAATTCGTTGGGCCTAAGAGATCGTGATCGTGTTATACGTATTTCATATGTGTTTCAAGCATGTCCTCCACCGCTTATCATTAATGACGATTCCAGCTTCAGTTTTTATCTTCAGATGAAAAGCATTCAATCGGACTTGAACCAACTTCCTCTTTGTGTAGAGTTTCTTCCACCGTTTCAAGGTTAGTAAAATATTTCTCCCCTGGTTTTATCTTTCAGTTGCAATTTAACTATATGAATTTAGTTTTCAAATTATCTGTATTATTTTTAATTTTTTTATTTTGATTTCAAAGGATGTACTGAAACTGTGTCAAACACGATTAATTACTCTTTTTCGGATGATGAAGTTTTGGATGGTTTTGAGGATTCTGAAATATTAGCAGCAGCAGGCCAACAAACAATGCACTGTAGTGATGTTTTGGAGGATTCTGATTTCAGCCCTTTGTGTTTTGATGAAGATGTTATGAATGATGACTTCACATCTTCGGTTGAGGTTCCTCTGTGTTCTTCTGTTCCCCACTTTGACCCCACCCGTCTTGCTATGGATGCAATATATGAAAGCAAGAAGGAGTTTAGTTTTAACTTGAAGATGTATGCAATAACTAATTTTTTCCAATACCGAACAAAGTCATCTTCTCCTAAGGTGTTACATGTTATTTGTGTGGATCCTGATTGTCTGTGGGCTGTTCGTGGAGTTCGCTTGGATGAAAGTGGCTTGTTTCAAGTGCGTAGGTTAGTGATTTCTTTTTTTTTGGTTATGTATTTGTTTTAGTTATCTTCTCCTAAGTTGTTTGCTTACTGTTTACATTACATTATTTAATGCAGTGTTATTGAAGTTCTAAACTGCAGCTAATGAAAATATTTAGACCTTATATGTTGTTGTTTTTACTTGAACATCCATGTGAAGTTGCATATTTTTGATGAAGTTTGTTGTGACTATTTGCATTAAATTATACACTGCAATTACTCAATAAATTATATCATTTTTATATTTCTATTTCTGTATTAAAATTGTTTAGTTATGTTGTTCTTTTACTTTGCCAGGCTTTTGAAGTTCCTTATTTTCGTTGTAGTTAGTTGTCATTATTTGGACAAAATTTATGTATCTCAATAAATGCGTCATTACATGCTGTTAATGCCATCTGTACTTGTTCATTTTCAGATTTGATAACGACCATACCTGTCCCATTGATATTAGACAAGCTAATAGTCGCCAGGCTTCTTCTTCTCTTATTGCTGAACTGATCAAGCATGAATTTGATGACTTGTCCAAAAGAGCTTACACACCTCATTCAATCATGAGAGATATGAAAAGATTGCATGGAATTGTCATGTCATATAAAAAGGCTTGGGTTGCAAGGGAAATTGCATTGAAATTGGCTCGGGGATCTGAGAAGGAGTCGTACAGTAGACTTCCTTCTTTGTGCTACATGCTTGATAAAGTAAATCCAGATTCGGTTGTTAGATATTCTTGTAATGAAACTGGAGAATTTCAGAACTTTTTTATGTCTCTTGGTCCATGGAGACGTGGATGGGAGAAGTGCATTCCAGTTATTGTTGTTGATGGATCATTTTTGAAATCGTATTACAAGGGAACACTGCTCACGGCCTGCACACAAGATGCTAACAAGCAGATTTTTCCACTTGCATTTGCTATTTGCAGTGTTGAAAATACCGTTAACTGGACTTGGTTTTTCAACATGTTGAAGAATTGTCTCAACCATAGAAATGGTTTGTATATTGTGTCTGATCGGCATGAAGGAATTATAAATGCCGTTCATTCCGTCTTTCCATATGCGGAACATGGATATTGTGTTTATCACATATTAGGCAATATAAAATCCAAGTTTAAAGGTACTGCAAAGGTGTTGTCTTGGAAATTCTTACAAGCAGCGAGAGCGGGTTCTGTTTATGAATGTGAAGAGTATCTTTCCAGGCTTGATTATGATGACCCGCGTATACGTACGTACTTGCAAAAGATTGGTAATGAGAAGTGGTCTCGTGCATATGCTAGCCGCAACCGTTATTCTGTGATGATGTCTAACAATGCGGAGTCTTTGAATGCTGTTTTTGTCACGGCTCGTGAGTATCCCATCTGCAAGTTGATTGAGTTTATAGTACGCACAATGCAAACATGGTTCTGTGAACGCAGAGAAGAAGCTGCATCAAACAGATCTCTACTCTCTGCTTACTTTGAAGCGCAATTACGTCTATCGCAATCAAATGCTGCATTAATGCAGGTACTTTACTGCATTCATACTGTACTGCATTTTGGCTTTTTGTTTTTGTATGAAATGATGAGGTTCTGCTTTATGTTACCAGTTTTATGTTTATTTTTTATGTTTTTGTAGGTCAAGCCATCATGTATCTTTGAATTTGAGGTCTTTGATGCGAAAGGAAGATCATTTGTTGTCAATTTAAGAGAAGGGACTTGTACATGCCGTGAATTTGAACTTGATGGCTTCATATGTGTTCATGCCGTTGCTGCAATCCGTTCTCGTCCGGGACTTTCTGCTTATGACTACATTCCTGAATATTATACTACACAGAAATGGTGTTCAGCTTATGAGGGCATCATTCATCCCATCGGTAGTTACGATTGTTGGGTTGTTCCCCATGACGTATCTCAAATCATTTGCAGCCCTCCATCTTGTTCTAAGAGACCTCCTGGAAGACCCAAGAAGCGACGTATTCCATCTACCGGTGAACATGTGCGTCAACAAAAGTGTACACGTTGCTCAATGGTTGGTCACAATAGGAAGACATGCCGAAACCCCATTTCTCGCACTCGCTCCTAATGTTGAATCTGTTTTACTTGTTTAGTTTTACTCCTAATGTTGAATATGTTTTACTTGTTTAGTTTTACTCTTGAGTTACGCTTTACACTTTTCCCACTTCTTCACAATTGTATTCAGGTGAGAAGTGATACAGATGTTCTGCTACTAATTTCTATCTTTGAATAAAGTTTGTAGTCACGGATTGCAGTAATACATGCAGTTTGTTTATGCATTGATGACCATTAATGCGAATGTTAACTCTCACTTAGGTATTTATGTATTCAATCATAATTTTACAAGTGTTTACTTAGATTGATATTTCAATCCCTGTGAACATGTACACTGACACAAATGTACATGTTCCTTAATGGTTGTTCATAATAGCAACACATGTACAAACCTCATTCCTCAATTATTGTTTTCCCCACTTCTTCACATTTTCCTTCTTTTTACAAGTCACTCATATGTTACTTTATTCATTTGTGTTGTTGAAAAACTATAAACATTTTATAAACAAAAATACATATTATTGAAACATAGTATTGAAATATACATTGCTTGTCTTTTTCATTCACATAGATGAGTACCAACATACCGTAATTACGTGCATTGATGGTATGTTGTGCTGATATGCATTAAATATAGCATTGAATCATATAAAAGCTAATGCTCATCATCATCAAACCTGTACTTAGGCATCAATTAATATAAACCATATTTTTCAATGCAAAATATTCAGTACTTCAAAACATCAATATTATGTCCAATCCACCCAAAAGTGCTAAAGTAAATCCATACTGAAGTTTAATCAAAATAAACCATCCTCACAAAAACCAAAATCCACACCCAATAAGTTTCATTCATAGCATTACACATTTGTTTTAAACATTCATTCAACACTGTCCAGATTAACCAGCCCATTGTAATGCAGTATCTCGGCCACCAGCTTCTTCCTATAAGTCCACATGTCCCTAGACGCCACTTCTTGAGGATCTTTCCCCATCATTAGGTACTCTGCCATTTTGAGAACAAATAGCCCACAACTATCCCTGCACATATGAAAAAATTTACAATGTTAGTTATGTACCAATACACTATATATATTTAAGAAATTCAATGCATTTACCCGTCATTTTGTTGTGGACTGGATTCCATAACCCATCCCACTTTTCCTTCTCCAATTGGCTGTTCACCACGCTCTTCGTACACCCTGCACCAATCCATTAGATGTCCTAAATGATTTTCCAAACATGGTAAGAACTGACTCAATTGTCTGCTTGGGGTTTTAAGCCGGTTATTGGAGTCATAAATCCTAATACGCTTCTCGCCCACATCAAGCACAAGTAGAACCCAGTGATGCCCAATATTCATCGGCATGTACACATGCTCACATTCTGCCCATGGTAGCCCGTAAGGCACATTTGTCCCAAGTATTGATCCCACGACACTTTTGTTGTGTACAGACTCTTCAAGTGTGCTTTCTTTCCTCACAATGAGATCATGGTGTTGTTTCAGCAGTGCTGTAAAATAGCAATCTGTTGTTGTGAACTTCTGCTTCAGAGAGTACTCTTGTGCTTTGACCCGCAGGTAGTATAATATGACATCAATGTGCTGTATAAATGAAATCATGATAAGTAGTATTAATACTCAATTTTAACATTGTTTAAAAATTAATAAAGACAATAGATATACTTACTGTGTCTTGTATCCAATTCCTCTGAAACCATATGGCGTAGTACCAGGACTTGCTTGTCAGTCTTCCATCATTCCACAATGGTGTCATGTTTCTCAATTTCAGCATTTCATGTTTTGCATTATACTTCTTCACGCCAGACTTTTCGTGATTTCTTAGTAGCCCCGCATACATGAAATCAATTATAATTTCTTGTAACTTATCACTTGGCTGCTGTTTTGGGTCTAATGTCAGAGGCCCTCTCACTACTACCTTTTTTAGCTCATTTCTTGCGGCATCCTTCTTCCTTCTTTTCCCGTTTCCGGGTCCTGACAAAGACAACCTGTTTGGTGCTTTAGTATCTCTCCTTGGCCTTTTCTCAACGTCTTCAAATGCACCATCATTCATCTAAATTATAATACAAATTACTTAAAACATAAAACCAGAATACTAGCACTACAATAAATTTGCAGAAGTTTACATGCATTTAATTTCAATTTATTATCAGCATATTATGACAATAATATACCTCAACCCCATCCTTCTTTTGGCGATCATCACATTTCTCACCATTTGGTTGCTCAGTCATCACCACTTCGACTCTCTCTGCTTCAGCACTTTCTACCTAAAGTTTTATACCAATTCATTAAATAATATCACTACAATATAGCAATAGCAAAATAGGAAAAATGTAACTGCATTTGATTAAAACATACCCCATTCTTCTGGATATCTTCAGAGTTCTGAACGACTGGAACCTCAATGTTCGCTGCATCCACGGCTTCAGTTCTTTCTGATGTATTGTCAACTTTGTTATTAACAATCATATTTTCCAATATTTCATCCACTGCATTAACCAATGCTTGGGTATTGATTGGTTCTTCAAATCCATCTCCCCAGTCTGTCTGCACTTCAGATGCTGCCATTTCATCCTTTGTTCCATTTCTATCTTTGCTCTCTTCAGCTTTGTCATTACTCTTCTCGTGCTCCGCTTCATGTAGCTCTTCACTTTTCTGTTCTTCATCGTCTTCACTTCCATTGTTGAACTCTGGTGCAAGTTCAAATGATGGAATGTCCACATCTCTGACTTCTTTTCTTTTCCTGATCAAGGGAAACCTTCTGCTTATAGCAACCTTTCCATTTTTTGCATTCACCAACAGCTTTTTAATCATGCTTGCATGCTTCACTTGCAATTCACAGAGTTTGGTAACTGCCCTCTCAAGTTTCTCAATTCTTTCACCCTGTGCTCTCACTTCTCTTAAAATATTCTTGATTCCCCTTTGTCTTATTTTGTTCCCTTCGCTATCTTCACCAGATGGATCTTCATTTTCATCAACATCATCCTTTTTGTTTTTTCTACTCTTTACTCTCCCCTTCCGAACTTTACAACCACCATTTGTAGCCTTTCGTCTTGCTTTCTTGACTGGCTGTGAAGAAGCTTCTTCACTGCTTATTTTCTCCAAAGCATGTGCAACACATGTCTCTTCTAACTCCTCCTCTGTTGGTTTCATCTCTTCCCATTGAAACTGCAAATTCCAGATTTCCATTACAATTAATAACCATACATCATAATCACCAAAATGCATTAAACATAATCAATATTTATCACAACCATTATAAAATACATATGAATATAAATTTTACCTCTGGATTATTGAAAATAATCTCTGCAAGAACCACAGATGATGGCTTTGACGTGACAGACCAATTCAATGTCCTTGGCCAGTAAGTTTCGGGCCTTTTCAAGCACACTCTCGCTCTGTTCAGTTCAGGAAAAGTCTCAAAACCCCATATTTGTAGGGCAAATACATATCCAGGGAATGTCACCCTAGTGCTCTTTCCCTCCCCCAATATTGCTGCACACTTCGGAACCTTATCAACCAAATCAGACCACACGATATCACCCCATGGAAACTTATTGAATGCATCAAGGTCATCTACCAGGTTGATGTAAGTTGTAGGCACTTTGAGTGATTTCTGGTTACCTAGTATGTAGTTGCCAAGAACATGCAACAATGCTAACTTCACCGCATCAAATGGTTGCATGTCTTCTCTTCTATTATTAATGGATTCAAATGCTTGCCGTAGGTCTCCCCGGTCAAGACTTGTCTTTCCACTAAAGTGCCTCCTCCACAGTTCCCCGTCGCAACGAGTACTCATAGCTGGTTTGTTCCTCCCAAACTCAAATCCTGTTATCAAGGCTAGGTCTTTTTTCTTCATTCCTACTACTCTTTCTCCAATTTGAAACTGAATTTCATTCATAACAGTCATCTCTTCCACAGGTGCGACATGATTTCCTATCAGCATGGATATCAGTTGTGCATTTAACCATTTCAGATTTCCTACATCTAACATGTATCCAAATACGGTCTCCCTAAACAGTTTCACTTCTTCTTCAGTCAATACACTCTTAATACTTTCAACAGCCTTCACTGGATTGCAGAAACTACTAACTCTCATGTCGTCTCTTGTCTCCAGAACTTCAGCATTACAGTAACGCTTATATGCCTAGGACAATATACATAATACAAGTTAACACCTCCAATAATGACACCACAATATGTTTTTTGCATTACTTAATATAATTAAAGATCCTCAATAACTGCATATCATGTTTTCATTCTTACTGCAGGTTCCAAGTAACACCACACACTACTACGTTCCCTAAAAAAACCTTAAAATTTACATATACTCTAAGATGTAACACTCTCAGATGTAAGAAACATGGCATACATATACCACATGCTAACACTACATGCAACGATATATCACACTAAAATAAATAATAGAATTCAATGCACTAATTTACTTAGTTTTCAACTTCCTCAATGCACAAATGTAGTTAGCTCAGTTTACAATTTCAACAAAAAAACACTTCAATTACATGCATTGAAAGCCATATTTCCAAATGAGTCAACTACAAAGACACTCTACCTAGATTCAAATCACATATTGAATTCTATCTGATTCACTGCACAGAGTACTCAGTAAATATTAAAAATATTGCATACCATAATACATTCAACAAATACACGCATTTAGTCTGATCTATCACACTAAAACAGACACTATTTTAATCCACATTTCAATGCACACAATTACTTTTCTGAATTTGAAAATTTAAACAACCAAAAACTAGATTAAGTGTAGTGAATCTCATATTTCAATTTGCATTTCCAAATTACTCAACAACACACCAACTAAACAACAACAATATACACTCATTTTCAAACAACATCAATGCATGCATTCAAGTCGCATATGTAATGAATTCGCTAACATAAATGTTCGTCAAAACATTGCATTGAAGCATTAATATGTAATTACTTCATGAACACAAAAAATAAAAATAAAAACTAACCACGCCGTTGATTTTGACGATTTCGTAGTCCAATTCATCGCTGTTTCGTCGAGAGTTCCCTTTTTTCTTCACCATCGTTCGTCTTCCTTCTTCCTCTCTGCAGCTTATGAGTTCCGGATGTCGTTTTTACCAATTCTAATTCACCGCTCTCATTA